CCTAGGCCTGATCAGTACTGGGATGGGAGACCCCCCAAAGACAGCCAGGATGGTGATGTTAGTGAACCAGTAGGCGATATTCTTCCCTGTGGACTAGAAGCTTCAATCCAGCGTCCCAGTATGGTGACAGGACACAATGCTGTCGGAGGTATCAATCTTCAGATGAGATGTTAATTTCAGGTCTTGGCCATTTGGTGATTAAAGCCTCTAGGTTACTGTTCTTAGGAGCAGAGGTGTTAGCCCTTGTGGTCCTGGCTAAACTCCACTTGGAGCTTGAACAGTGAAGCGCTCTCTCGCTCATGCCCCTGATCTGCTGTACAGTTGGGCAGCAGGTGCAGAATGGCCACTGTGTGTCTCCCAGGTGGGGCTGCTGGTCCAGAATGGCCGCTGTGTGTCTCCCAGGTGGGGCTGCTGGTGCAGATCACTCTACCATCACTCTGTTCTCTTCTCTACTGATAGCTGGTGTCTGGGGAGCGTTCATTTCGATCTGAGAATCCTATAAAAAGGGCTGTGGACCGACTGGGGCTCATGTGTAATGGCCGTGCAGTTCTTGCATGACAATGCCAAGCTGTGTCAGCGATTAAGACCCAGTTAGTCGTTGCCCTGTTGGCGTTACTCCTGTTCGCTGAGTAGGAGCTCAGCTCGGTCATGACTTATTAACGCGCTTCGACTCTGAAGCCCCCAGATGTGCAAGACAGACATGTGTACCCCCTGGGAAACGAGGTGTGGCAGCGCACAAGAGAGCGTGGTATGTTTGACAGCTGGATGGCCTCGCCGACATCTGAACACGCGCTCTGACAAATCCAAACTAGTCGCAGCCCCAGTCCGATTCATGTTTTAACTCTTTAAGTAAATGTCTGTCAGCGTTCAGTGACAAAGAGGGTTTCTTGATCACAAAACCCTTCTGAAACACCTCAGCGGCTTTTGTTTCACGACAGACAATTTGGTAACGTTCCGGTCTTCGGGCTGCACACAACACCTCCACAATCGCATGACCAGCTTAAAACTCTAAAAAAACACAAAAAAAAGAAAAGGACTCATTGCTTCGATGGTAAAGTGCTTTCCGCCTGATTCTGTGCGGACTCTTAACCTGCCAAGTCTTCCTTTAAGACGATCCACTTAAAAATAGTCTTGAAGGCTGTTTTGTCAATAATGGGAGAGTGTTTCCTCGCCCCCAGCCTGCGGGGGCTGATTCACCGGGTCAGGGGTCTGGTGCATCTAGGTAATGAGTCACTCAAGTCGGCCACGGGTGGGCAGGCAGTGGGGGGGTGTGGGGCTGCCCGTCTTTTTCCCCGATTAGGGGTGACAAGGGGGTGTGTGGGGCTTGTGTCCCCGAGAGGAGTGCTGGGATTGCAGAATTGGCAGGGTAGTGGCTT